TAGCGTTAGTAGCTCGTTCACACATCTACGTATATTCTTATACACACACACACATATCCTGCGAATGAATCAAAAAGTCGACTGACGCAACGAGATCGCATTCGAAAGGTTTCAGAACTACAACCTCTAATCGTGTAAGCAGCTTAGCTATATACGTACGTGCACCTACATAACTATGTAGCCGACCTGGGTAATTAATCGTTCGTACTTGCGCGACACAGCCGACGGTAAAATATCCAAAAACGGTCTTTTCGTCGATCTCGAACGAAAAAGTGGAAAAGTGGAAAAGTGGAAAGGCTAAAGCCATCCTCTGAACAAATGTTTCGCCTCTCTACATACATACATAAAGTGTAAATACATTCCACCTTTGACCGATTCGTTTTGATTCTTCGCTCGTTATCGAATCCCGTATGTGACGTTGAAACTTATTCCAAAGAATTTATAGAAGCGTTTAACGAATTAGAGGATCACAGAAATTCCTAATTCGTTTACGGTCGAACTAATGTCGTTTGCATAATCTTAGTGTTTGCGCGTATACAGAATAAATCTAGTTAGAAACTGAATTATGTTACGAGACGGTAAGATGGTAAGGTTAGGTTAGTCGAGAATAACACAAGTAGAAACGGATTTTGGGATACGAATGCCGACGTTAAATCAACTGAGATAAAATGGATGTTTAATGTAAATATCGAGGAAGGACTTGAGAACGAAACGAAAAGGAAACTACGTGCATATTTATAAGTTGGCGTGACATTAATAACGCGGAATTAACATACGTATGCGTGCATGTTTGTATGTACGTATCGAGAAACGAAGCTGCACAGCTACCGGTATTTCAACGATCTCGTGTCTTTGATCGGAGGTGAATGCTAATTATCTGCTATTGCAATGCCGAACACACAAACTGGAAAGTGCGAATAGATTTGTGCAGAGGACAAGAGTACGTATTAAACTAAAATTAAATGCACGGCATTTACAAGGACTCATTCGATCACGGATTCTTGACGACGTGACACGACGCGACGCGTTGCATTGGCGCTTGCAGTTGCATGTACTCTCCTTCCTTTCTCCTACGTTTTTACGCGTCATACCTTCCTTCGAAATGAATACGTTCGAAACCAATCTACCTAGGGATTTAGTTTTTTTTTTTTTTACCAACTACGATTTTGTTTTCCTTTTTCGATGACCATCATACCGAATATTTTTGTTGACAATACAGGGTGGGCCAAAGTTTCTTCCCACCTATCTTTTTTAACAAAACATCGAAATATAAGAGAAAACTAATTTTGTTAATTTTGAATTAAATTTCGTTTACTTTGCCTTACGTTTTGAAATATTCAAGAACGATGGAACAACAGTTTTACTTGCTGCGAAAAAGTATACAGTTTGGAAATTAAAATGATTCTGTAGAAGTACGTTCAATCCGTGATAACGAGTTGCTAAGTTAAGCAACGTTTCAAGACTGGAGCTGTTTGAAAATTATAAAAAGGAAGAAATGATTTTACACAAATGGAAAGTTCTTTTGAAGTAAAACAGCGGAATTGTAAGAGATATATTTTAAAGCTCACATTATTTGTCCGGTATTTTTTACAGGAATGCCAGTTGAGTCAACTCCTAGCCGCGAGGACTTTCTTCCTCAGCGTAGCCTCTTACAGTCAATAAACGTTATTTCTTCAGAAAAGGAGATGCACATAGCCTTGCCTTTCGTTCATTTTTTGAATTTTCTAACAACTATTATTAATCCTATATTGAATTTTGTACCAAATTCCGTTGAAACATTTATACTCTGTTAAAATATTTTTTATTTCATTTTTTATACAACCTAGCTTAATTCATTCTTAATCAACACTTCCTTTTTCTCTGCGTTCCTTCAATCTGCTGACAATATAAATACAAGTTATATTAATTATGTCTCCTGTTTTAGGCTTTTGTTTGCCTACTATATATACGAGTATATAGCTTATCTATCTATATTTACCTATTTATTTGCCTGTTTACATCTATTTATTTACCAATCTATCTATATACCTATTTACTTATCAACCTACTGACCTACCCACGTATTAGCTGTATACACTACGTGCATATATAATATGTACATACACCGTTTACGATAGAAGACACGCCTTTTTTTCTACCAGTGGATCAGTGGATAACTTTCGATAAATTTCACGTTTTACCTAGCTACTCGTCTATTCGTACTCATTTCACTCGTCTATTAAAAGCAGAACGACATTATGCGAAAGAGAAAGAGAGAGAGAGAGAGAGAGAGAGAGAGAGAGAGAGAGAGAGAGAGAGAAAGAAAGATAGAAATTGCCTTGTATCGCAAATTGTTGTCGTATCATAAATAAATTAACGTTCTTCGAGTGAAGTTGTACGACCTCTATGCGACTGACACGAGTTAAACATGGTTAAACTCGACGACCTCGTACGTGCATGTCGCCAATCACGTACGCTTTGTCGATAACTGTTCATATGCGTTTTTCGTGTTGAACTATTTTAATGTTCAGTCAACAACAAACGCACCTATATATACACGCGCAATATGACATGATTGATTGTCAGAAGATGGCAATTTACATTTTTTGTTGACTTTTATTACTAGTATGTAAATCGCCGCAATAGAACGTACATAAATACTCATATGTTATTTATATAACCATTGACTAAGGTCAGAATAGATATGATGGGCAACGCTTTTTCGCGTTCCACGTTTTTGAAGATCACTTGCCCTCCTTGCTACTTTCCAGTCAGCGTTATTTGTTCCATGTAATATGTAGTGGTGAACGTGTTTGAATTAAAATTAACATGTCGGTATGTCTTGTGACGTTACAAGAATTAAATGTGCAATATCTGTGCAATAATTATATGTACAAAGCAGAGCATGGCATTTTGTGTACAGCAATAAACAACAATAGGTATATTCCTTTATATTTGTAGTGTGATAGATTGGAACGATGACTCTGTGCGAACCTATATATGTAACACTGCACAAAAGTGGGCAATTAATTTGTAATTTGATGATTTTTCCAACAAATCCCGGACAATTGATCTTGATATTTTAATGAGAAGTAGAGATTTCTCATTTCGGAATGAGAAATCCCAGAATTAGTCACGGTCACGATTAAATTAGTTGCATCCTGGATGAGTTTGTCGATAGATGATCGCGTTATTTTTAGAATATCACCAGTTAAATAATGGCAAATTAATAATTTCAGAAAATCGGATTGAATTTTTATAGAAAGCTTGTATAATAACTGTACTACAATAACTTTTGAGAATTCATAGACAGATAATTCAGATGAGAGAAGCTAAGAAGCCATAAAATAAATGTTGTAAAATAGTAAATAAATCATACAAGTTATGATGCATTATCAGCTTTCTACTATATATTATATAAAAATTTAGAATAGTTTGCGATTGTAGGCAAGATTATAAAATTGTTATATTGCATCGTGAATTGCATTCAAAGTATCCATAAATTAGGTTGTGGCTTCGTTGCATCAATTATGGGATGATCGTTATATTGATCGATTAAATGAAGATTTATATCCTATGTGCACAAAATTCTTGCATGTATCTTTGACCATTATATTTTCAAACCATTCCGAAATTTCAAAGATAAATTGCAAGTGACTAATTCATTCAATTTTATTGGCCGAATGAAATATGGGAACAAATTTCGAAAACGCGATTAAAAGAGTTTACAAGGTAATTCTCTTGATTGGTTCTCTTTACGAATGAGAACCTGTTATTTTCATGGACGTTGAAACACCAACAGCAGCGCTGTGGAACTAATTTATTCACCGTGAAACTGAAAACTCGAGTGAGGGCAAATCAAGCTACATATTTTTGTTCAGAAATTAAATTATAATTCGCTTACCACCGAATTGTAAAACCGAAACTGCCTTTGTGTTACGGTCATTCTGATTTCTTACGTAATTAGTTTATTTCGTATAATTAGCGTAAATTGAGCTGCTTTGGACTTGGTAACGCTATCTGTCGGTAGAAGTCGGCATTAACAAAGAAATTAATATTTTATTCGTATTCCGAGTCAAACACGGAATAATATAAGCCGAGAATCTAATTACGTGATCGCTGTTATAAAGGTCTACGAATTAATAGCCAAAATTACTGTTTTCTGCAATTAGTTTAAGTTTTGTAGCGACCGTTACCTCGTCAAAATTGAAATCAGCGCCATCTACAACAAAGCAGTCGTTCTGCCGAAAAGTACGTTTCCTGTAAACCGACAACGCCAAATGTATATAACACTCTTAACACAAGAACATTTATAAATTATTTTATTTTTATTATTACTATGAAAATGTTATTATTTATAGAAATGTATATATAGACCCTATTTTATAATTAGTTATTCATTCCTTAATTAACATTCGGAGAAAACAGTTATCTATTTGTGCTATAAAAATAACTTTATTGTTATTTAAATATCATTTATTATAATTTATTAAAAGTTACCAAAGTTACGAAGTTCTTATTTATTTGTAGTATTGTAATATTATCATTATAATCACTTTTGGACACAATAACATCATCTTGCGGTAAACATTGATAACTTTACCACCAACATTTATTGACAGATGGCGTCACCTAACCAATTTGGAAAATTTTAGTTTTTCAGTTTTACTATTGTTTCATTTAGTCTTTCGAGATTTTCTAGGACATATATCCTGTTTTTAAGTTCTTTAAAGGATGTTTTTCTTATCCGGCCAGCATACAGGATTACTCCAGGATTGCATACAGGATAGCTTATGAGTTTGATAAAAGTTTACATTATGACTTTTTTCATTATTTCTGTAAATTTATTGTATTTATATTATCAGGTTAAAGAGAAAGAAAATAGTCAATATGTATGTATTTTTTTTGCCATCTCGTATTGAACGTATTAAACACGGTGTTACGATATGATTTCAAAGATTTATTCCCATATTTCGTTAACATGTTCCATCACTTATAATTTATAGTTTGTGTTTGCAGTATCGACTTGTCCGATTCGTAGCTTCGTTCACGTGTGTACGCTTTGGTCTGTTCACCTTTATAAGTTATGTTACGGAAGGCATGTCTAGAGGTTATGCGACTACAACTAAATATTCGTTTCTTCGGAATGAAAATCTTTGACAATTACGACCATAATCGTAATTGATATTGTGCAATAATTTTGATAAATTTTCTGTCGCAAGATGCCGATTTCGCGTTACAAAAAGTGAACAAGAGAAATATTATGAACATCACAACATTATTATACGTTGTCGATAGTCGGGCGTCGTATTTTTGGACGGATCGTTCTAGAAATCGAACATGAGATTTCAGCTGTTTGGACTGTCCGGGTACGGCGTGCGCCGTAATTCAGGACTACGGGAATTTCGACGTTGGCATGCGATTTTGTATAAAAACGTCGAACCAACATTGCGACGAAAACTGGACGCGAGTGTCCTAGCTGTCCGCGACAAACTGTTGTATTGCGATTACTTGGATGCGGAGAACGTGCAAGTGGGTTACAAAAAGAGGAAAACGTTGGAGAAATTGCTGCGCATGGAGGAGGAGAGGGAGAGGTACGAGGAGATCGCTCACAAACCCGTATTCAGTGTTCTGTTGTCGAACAATTCAACGGCGAGTAAAGAGAAGGTAGATTCTCACAGCGAGGAATGGACAACTACGAAAGAGAAGCCTGTGCACATGCCGTACGCCATGGTAGATTCGTACGAGATGATCAACTCGGTAACGTCCAACGATGCCGAGGAACCGAGCGAGAACGCGTTGGACGAGGAGCACGAAAGTTTGCACGATAGGTATTCGAAGATAAAGGCGAGCGGGTTGACCGAGCTGAATTTCGAGGATTTCGTCAAGACAATGGAAAAGAGCGTGGATAGTTTGAGTACGCCGCATGGTGAGTTGTGGAAAGTACCGGATAACTGGATGACCGATTACGAGCAGTTCGACGACTCCTTGATGAACTGGTACGCAAGGTACGGCACGCCAGATCCCAATTCGAAAGTGAGCTCCGTGCCGTGCGGCGGTTGCGGCGCTTTGCTTCACTGTAGAGACCCAGCGATTCCCGGATACTTGCCGTCGGAATTGTTCTCGTCCAAAAATACCGACGAGCTGAAATTGATGACATGCCAGAGATGTCACTTCTTGAAGTTCTACAACGCGGCGTTGGAGGTGAAGGTGTCGATCGAGGATTACCCCAGGCTGTTGAAGGTGATCAAGAGCAAAAAATGCGCCATCATCCTGATAGTCGATGTGACCGACTTCCCTTGTTGCATTTGGCCCGATCTGAAGACCATCATGCACCCTTTCACGCCGATTTTTCTAGTTGGCAACAAGGTCGACTTGCTGCCCAGGGACTGCCCGTCGTTTCTCGAGAACGTGAAGCAACGGCTGAAGGACGCGGTGATCGACATCACCGGCGTGAAGAAAGAAAACATTACGCACGTGCAACTCGCGTCCGCGAAAACCGGATACGGCATAGAGCAGCTGATAAATAAGTTGCAGAACAAGTGGCAACACAAAGGTGCGTACACGTGTGTTGCATCATTTTCATTAGATATTGTTAAACTCATAACTCGTTAGATATTATTAAACTTATAAAACACATGTAACGCTCGACATGTTTCAGGAGACGTTTATTTAGTTGGTTGTACAAACGTTGGAAAATCTTCGTTGTTCAACACCTTGATAAATTCCGACTATTGCAAGGTACAAGCAATCGACTTGGTGCAACGCGCTACAGTGTCTGCTTGGCCAGGGACCACGTTAAACTTGCTCAAGTTTCCAATTTTAAATCCGACTGGCAAGAAACGTCGTTTAAGAACAATAAGACTCATCGGGGAAACGTCTTACAAGATGACAGAGTTGGAGTACAATAATTTAAAGTTTAAAGAAACCAGGAACATCAAATATGCGACATTGAAAGGTGATTGGGCAATCTCATTTCCGGTTAATTCTGTTCGTTTGAAAGATTGTTTATTGGTTTGTCTGTGTAGAGCATATTGGTAAAACATTTACTATGCATTCGTCGAGCAATCCAATGAGAGATCCTTTTTCCGAGATATCGCACAAGTCCATGTCTGGAAACAGCGTTCTCGACGAGACTAGACCAGAGTACAAGCAAAGTCGTTGGTGTTACGACACTCCAGGCACAATTCAGACCGATCAGATACTAAATTTGCTGACGACCGACGAACTGTTGCTCACGCTGCCGCAAGAAATTATCTCGCCGAGAACTTTCATGTTCAAACCGAAGCAAACCGTGTTTGTGGCTGGCATGGGAAGGCTGGATTACCTCGAAGGGGAGCACTTCATACGGTACACATAATTTGTACATTGGTTTCTACGTGAAAGAATAGTCGCTACGACCGTACAGTTGTTAGTCGGCTGTCATTTTTGAAACTCTTCAGCTTTTCCTCTTTCTTACAATGAAACAGATGTACGTTGTTCGCGAGCAAACATCTACCTATAACAATGTGTCGGACCATCGACGCGGACGAGGTGTACGATCGTTTGTTGACTACGAAAGCTTTCGTCGTGCCTATCAACGATCCGGAACGATTAAAAGCGTGGCCAAAGTTGTTGGAATCGAAAGAGATGAAAGTGGTCGGCGTGGACAGAGAGGAATCTGTCGCTGATGTCGTACTGTCGAGTATAGGTAAATTTAACTGATAAAAATAGGTGAATTTTACGATGCATTTCATCGGTGCAAGTAACTGTTGTTGATCAATTCGACAGGTTGGATCGCGATCACCCCTTTCGAGAACGAAAGTGCCTTGTTGAAAGCGTGGACGCCTCAAGGTCGCGGTATATACCTAAGGAGCCCGGCACTGCTCAGCAAATCGGTAAGTCTTCGTGGTGGCAAGGTTCAGGGTACACCGATGTATCTGCTGGGTCGACAAGTATACGTTAAATGTTAAACCACACGATATCACAAATTTGGTCTGGTCTTTCCCTGTCCAAAGAACGACGTCTTTTCAGCCTAAGACTATCGGTATGTGTAAATACATACACATTTGTAGAAATTGTTGCAGACTTTTTACAAAAACTCCTCCGACGCATCGGTAATAAAACGTTGTTTCTTTGTTTCTTTTTCCTTTTCTTTTTCATTCAATTTCACTTCACCAAGGAAAATTAGGTCAACGGACGATACGAGCTGTGCGTTTTATTTGCGACTCTTTCGGGAACTAGGACGGATGACCGGATTCCTCTGCAAGAACAAGAACAAGGACAAGAAGAAAACGAAATTTCGAAAAAGCTGCGCGAAATTGTTTGAAAAGACAAGACGTATCGCGCGAAGCGCGCGATAAACTTACGTAGAGGTAGGTTGTCGCGGTGCCGAGTCGTCTTTCTGCAGACGAGCGCGGCTGTTCGCCGAGTTCTCGAGTAACTTGTCGCATTTGCTGGAAAAGTAACACTTGTACTTGAAGCAGACGGGGCAGCTGTCAAAGATGTGCAGATTGCCACAAACGGAGGGTACTCGGCGATATCTTGACGGCGGATCAAGCTCTGTGTCGTCAATGCAGATATCGTGTTTCATCGGTTGACTGGTCCGGGCGAGTCCATCTTGATACGAGTATTCTACGTCGTTGCAACACCGCGTGCTGCGACAGTATATTGAATTACACTCCGTGTTAGCTTTGGAAGTTGAAAGGCAAAGGCAGCCGGTTTAGAACAGATAAATGAGAAACGGTTGTTGTGCTTACGAGCTGGAAATCTGAGGTTTTGCCTTGGCACGATTGTGACAGACTTTTCGTTGCCTGATGATACCTTTGACGGGACGTTTTCTGTGAGCGTAGCACTTCTGCTGAAAATCGCGATTTGCCAAGATAGAGGTCGAGCAACGGGAATCGCTAATGTAGAGTGTCTTTACCTTGGAGTCGATCGTCTTTGGATTGACCACGTACGGTCTGTCGAGATTCGCATCGTAAATCGTTAACACCTCTTCTATCACCGTGTTCGTGGAAATTTCAATCTTTGGTGCTATAATACCCTGTTGGAAGGATTTAGTTTGGGTAAGTGGTGTCTATCATATATATACAGTGACTCTCATTAATATTCGGACACTAAATATTCAAACTGTTATAATTTTGTAAAAAAAAAAGAAAGAAATCGTACAACAATAAACCTGGACTCGTTTTACAGTCTCTATTTTCAGAAAGCATCGTTCATTTTATTCCAAACCGTTTTTACTTCACGCAACGAGTGTATGAGTGAAGATACTTCTCTTCTCGAAAATACAATAAATGTGTAAGCGTGTGTGTAAGAACATTGAAAAATTTTTTTCGCGACTGAATTTACGACGATGAACCTTGAAAGTAGAGACTTCGAAGCTTTAAAACAAGGTTGCACGATTTGTTTTTGCAAAATTATAACAATTTCGGTACTTAGCATTGGAATATTAATGTTATTGCGCGCCAGTGGTTCCCAACTTTCCCTGTCCTCGTGTAACACTTTCTTATTATTCAAAAGTTGAATTTTTGACGTGGACGAAGCCTAAAAAGCCATTAACTTCAAGATCTAAAACAAGCTTTCAAAGAACGTGACATCCGAAAGAAAAAAAATAAAAGAACAAAAGAAATCACTAAGAAATTGTTAAAAAAAAGTAAAAGTAAAGGCGATATGACAAACAGGAAATAAAGACGAGGTTGAGAACAGCAACGGGAATGCCACCTGTGAGTTGTTCATTTCCCTAGTACGAGATTTCTGCCGCAACGACAGATGGTGCATTGCACAACGCGGAAAAGTTAAATTTTTGTTAAAAGAAATGCAAATAATTCACTGTTAATGACTCATTCTCGAATTGCCCCTTCCCCTCGAAATATTAAATTGCTCCACGGTTGGGAATCACCGACTGTACGCAGTCAAGGAAGGAAAGATACCGACGGGGAAATATTTGCTGGGATCCATGAGCAGATCGACGTCGACACCGGGCAGCAATCGCCTGCACTGAGTCACCGGATAGAGGAGATCGGTCAAGTTGGTCTGAAAGGTAGCCAAAAGAACGGGCTGGTTGCACGGGCTGAGCCACTGTATCAGTTCCGCGTAGAGGGACTGTCGTTCCAGATTTCGTTGCAACTCTGTCAAAGCAGCCAGCCGTGTGAACGTTTTCTTAAAGTTAAACTCGTTGTGAAATAATAGTGGAAAAATCGGCGATACTCGGTGAGATTCGAGAGTGGAGCCGAAGCTGGTTATGCGCAGCGCTACTTTCCCGTTAGGGCACAGCCATACACCGGGGCACGTGATCTGCAAGCAGAGGTTAGCAACTTGACTCGAGAACGAAAACTAATCGTTCGATTCTCCTCGTTCATGGTGTATTACTTACGGCGTGTAACTCCAGTCGGATCTTTACACAGAAGCCCTTTCCCGCCATGATGGTTGGTCGCTAGTGTGATTATTAAAATACCCTTGTCCTTGTTATCTCGAGATCATTTTGTCGGACGACGGACTTGGGGGAATTTGTAAAGGGAGAACGCCGCGATCACCGATTAGAATGTTCGGTGCTGGGTGTTTTTATCCTCGGGAAGCGGGACGTACGACGCGGTCTGTGGTACGGTGCGAGATTGGTGTGCGTGAGAGCTCGGTCGGTGCGTTGCTCGCTCGTTGCCAGGAAACGGAATTGGCACAACATCGACGTTGAATTTTGTCGACGATCGCGGCTGTACGGCCTCGTTCTAAACCTTGAAAGGCATTCCTACAAACTTTTCGACCGGCAGGCCTCTCTGAACATGCCGTATTCGAAGCTCGTTAGAGATGAAATCCGTCTGTTTCCGGTGGAATTGTAACCTCGGATCGTTCGTTCGCGGTATCAGGGGTTCCGAAAACCAACCGTACCTGTACACGTGTGTGTATACACGCATATACACTTATGGGGAAATTGGAATCGCGTGAAAAATGCTCGTTTCATACGTATGCATCCCTCTATTTGCGCGGTAGCACTTTTTATACGTGGTTTCAATTTTAGGTGGCCAGAAAATATATCGCCATCCTTTTTCTTACGCAGTAAATTGTAATAGTGAAAAAGCCAATGAAGAGATACTTAATTTGAGACTATTAACCAAAGTGAATTGGGACTACCAATTATGAAACTACTGAAATTAATAGACGTTGGAATTAGTTTTAAACAGTTGGCCTTGACAACGGTACATTATTCAATACGCAGTAAGTAAGCAATCGACGTTTTTACTGCACTGTGTTCAGATTTATATTGTCAATTTCAAGCCGGAAATGTTTAACAAACGTTCAGTTGCACGAAGAAATTACACAAAGAGGAAATTTCTTTGGATATGAAAATGAAAATTACACCGGCTCTATTTTCATTCCACGTAAATGGAGGGATGGGTGTGCGCACGTGTGTAATTCCGCGGTGGTTTGGAATATTTGGAAATTATATTGGAAATGGTTATATCGTCGAATAGTATTTACATATGTATGTATGTATGTACGTATGTATAATATCGCGTACAACATATTCACCGTCGGGGGCTTGAACGCGTAAACGTCCTTCGGCGTGAGGATCAACCGTTTCGAGATCAAGTCGACGTATTCCTGTAGAATTTCGGACGGCGGGATCGCGTCGTGCTTCGCGTAGAATTTGCCGGTCAGAGGTTTTGTGCGCGCGGTCGCGACGAACTCCTCCCGAAGCCGAAAGTGCCTCTTCTCCTTTTCGTATCTTTCGGTGTAAAATCGCAGTTTCACGGGATTCATGGCCGCTCGATACTGGGAATTTTTTCGCAACTTTTTTTTTCACGGAAGATTGAGTAGAAATGCGACGAGACGAGAGACGAACAAACGAACAACGTGACGCACAGTGCGGTGTTTGACAGTGAGCGGGCAAACGACGCTCGTTTCGAGTAGCATGGTTTATTTTAAAATACGAATAGAAAACGCATACATAACAAGCGGAAGACGGTGGTTAATCAGTCAGAGATTCACAGCGAGTGCTCGAGACGTTTTCGAGGGGAGAACGAAACTTCCGAGAATATATGATGCGTATTACAGAGGAAAGGTGGTAACGTCTGCTCGATACGCAATCGATAGTTGAAAATACCGGTTTTCGCTCGTTTCGTTACTTTGTGCCTGTACAGTGTCGACGATTTCTCGCCAGTTTTAACCTCTTGCGCCAGTAACTGGTTGACGGACCGTAACGAGTGACCAAAAACCGTATATAATAGTTCGTCTTCTTTTTGAATCGGTATATCATTGAATTTCACTATACTTAAAACTGAGAAAATATTGCAATTTTGGGCCAAATATTCTCGACGTGGCGCGTCATTACAGCGCAAGAGGTTAACCACTTGCGCTGGCAGCCTATTGCGGACCATAACGAGTGACCACACCGTATATAATAATTCGTCGCTTTCTTTTCGATCTCGTCGATGTGATATCACTGTAGATAGAAATTAATGAGAAGTGATAAATTTATTACTTGCTTTGCCCGAGTTATACTTAAATATACTTAAAACTGAGGAAATATTGCAATTTTGAGACAAAAAATTCTCGACGTGCGTGACACGTCATTTCGGCGCAAGAGGTTAACAACTAGAGCAGGGGTGGTCAACCGTGGCGCATAAAGCAAGTTATTTAGAGTAAGTATTAAAGTAAGATTATTATTTATTAGAGTAGGTTATTTTGTGTTTTCTCTATTTGCAAACACGTTTTTACTATTTATAAACACGTTTTCGTTGTTAAGATAATTTAGTGGCGCATCGAAGCTCACTTGAGAAAACAATTGGCACGTGGGAGGTACAAGAGTTTGGCCACCCCTGAGCCAGAGTATCTAGTCCAACAGTTAAATACACTGCGAAGGCCCAGCATTTGAAAGTATTTAAAACATGATGCACTTGCAACGGAAATCATTCCGGGACTAGATGTTTTTGAATTTCTACACGGGGTACGTATATGGATTGTGTTTGCTAATTTAAACCTGCCACAAAGTTGAATTTCAACGTAGACATCCAGTCGTCCAGAACCATAAAGTCGCTGTTAGCACGCGCGCCTCCGCAGTGTTAAATAATTGAGAAACATTTTCAAAGAGAACTATTGTAGATTGTGACCTATGATCCCTTCGTGGGAGAGTAGAATATAATGCAAGAAAAGAATTTTAACCTTGAAATTCAAGGTCAAGGTCGAAGGTGTAGAATTCATCTATGATCTGTTCATGGACAAAATTTTTCTTTCCGCCGTGTACATATAGAAATTTAAATATATCCGTTATCCTGCAGTTCCTGTGCCCATTTCCATTGCAAATACATAGTTTTATATACATTATTTGTGGGCCAGTGTACGTACTTACGTGTATGCATCCCGCGTTAATAACAATCATGTCCAATCAGTGCGACGATTCAATCGTAATGCAAAACTTTTACAAAATCGATCGCCGGTAACGCGCATTTCGAGAAACTGTGAGACGGGAGAGACAAAGAGAGGAGAGAAAGAAAACGAACAACGCGATAAATTACAAGACTGAATTATACGAACACGCACCAAGCTGAGAGAGACGCACGTCGGATTTCTCGATTTCGGTCGCAATTCGATATTTCCAAGGCACACTTTTTATACAACGTAGCCATAAATATGAAAGTGACGATGACGATGACGACAGTAACGATAACGACGACGATAATAGTAACGACAGCAATGACAATTGTCGCGATAGTAGTGTGATAGTAATAGTAATAACAATAGTGGTAACGCTAGAAAACAACAATTACAATAGCGCATTCGAAACGGCAATTGTGACAATTGTGAACGCGCGACATAACGATCGTTTTACGGCAAAGCAGAGAGGCCAACAAAAAGGAGAGAAACTGAAAGAAAAAAAAAGACAGTTTCGTCGGTTTCGACGTGATCGTTAGGCCGTTCGATCAACGCGACATTCTGTATCGTAAACGAGACGATAAAAAGTCTTTGGTACACGGCCAGAATTTGATTTTACTCGAGATTACATCCTGCTTCACGTCGATCGAGATCGTAGATGATGAGAAAAGAAACTACGATCTGTTTGCAGTAAGAAAGTACACGTTATACTGATATAGTTTCGCTGCGATTCAGGGGGACTCGTGGAGGAACTTCTCGGGATCGATCAGTAGTTTGCACGCGCGTTGCAGATCCTTGCTCGCTGAATCGAAAAGTGCGCGCAACGAAACGATGAGTATGTATGTACAGACGCACGAGGTGGAAAGAAATGTGTTTGGTCAATCTTGTCTGTCACTCGATGTTTTATGGAAAACGCGTGATACAGCTCCCGCGAAATTAACTGTGACTTTGAGTTTGAGGCTCGAAAAAGAAATTTTTTTTTTTTTACATCTGTATTCTACGAAGATCAAACTTGTTCAAAGGAATTACGTGCAAAAAAAGTCGTCTTATGCAGGGTGGAAAAAGAAAAGTTTGCCTGTGACTATCACAGGTGAAAAATTCTACACCTAAACTTTTAATTATTGTTGGACGCATAGTTTAAAAGTTGTTTCAGGTGCGCAAGCTGAACGTGAATCACCCTGTATAATTTAAGTTTCTCGAACAAGTCTGATCCTCCTAATGACTAGAATAGAAATGTAAACAAAAAAAAAATTTCTTTCAGCTTAAATATTTCTTTAAGAATATTTCTTTTTAGTTAGAAACTCAATCTACCAAGGTAGGTTCCTTATCGATAGCGTAGAATTCATCAGCTGTAACAGCCAAAACTAACCAAACGTTTCTTTCCACTCTGTACAGTGATCTAGTCAAAGTCTAGCTGGTGAGATGCGCGCGCATCCTGTCGTTAGCAACAGTGAAGTTAACTGTAATCGGTGGCGCAACGATCGGCTGCTTCGGTGGGCGTCGAAAGCGAGTGTTTCGTCTCGGTGGTAAGCTCGCCGTTGTTCCTGGAAATTCAGACATGTTAACGACGTTGACGCATTGTCGGCCGCGTGACTTCTATTCGCCAGCGGTTCACAAAATTAATAATTTTGCTTCTGAGGTATGTCTTAGAATTTTTACAACGGTGCAAAAACTATCATAATTATCAAGAAAAGGGTTCCAGATTTTAAGATGCATTGTAGAGACAGAGTAATAAATTTAATCAAGTGTAATAATGTAATCAATTTTGTTCCAGATATTTTTAGTACTATTGTTTACGTACTGATTAATAATAAATAATGTTAAATAATAATAATAATTTGTTATATGAATTATATAATACTGTATATAGTACTAAACATGATGCTAAATACTAATGAGTAGTAGTTACTTTAATTAAAGTTATTTTAACTTTTCACACGTTATTTTGATAACAAATTTTATAGTGTCTGTTTTCTCGAATTGAGCTGATTTTGACAGACATGCGAAAAAAATGACCCTACGTGGCACAGAACGTGTTAACTGAGATTTCTGGGAAACCCAGTTGTAAATTCTCTATGAGAGCCACCTAACTGGCCCTTATTTTATATCTTGTATCTCAAAAATAATTAAATAAAATTTTATATAATTTATATAAAATAAATTTATATATTAAAATAAATTAAATTTATTAAATAAAAATTAATAATTAAAAATTAAAAATTAATATCAGTAATTAAAATTTAAATTATAATTTAATAATTGATAAGTTTTATTGAAATAAAATTTTTTTATAAAAATTAATAATTATAAATGAAATTTAAATTATTATATTATTAAATTATTAAATTTATATATATATATAATAGTTTAATTTTTTTATAAATAAGGATGGATGGGGAATAAAAAATAATAATAAAATAAATAATTTATAATACGTATAATAGTAAATTCTCTAAATCAGAGCCACCTAACTGGCCCCCTTTTCCTCTCCACTTGGTAGGGAAATTAAGAGAGAGTGGGGGCGCAGCGAGGAAATTTCAGTGTAGTGGGGAGATGGAGGCAGTGGAGGGGATGGCGCTAGCGGTCAAGATAGTGGAAGCAAGGGCCGCCAGTTAGCCACCTCTGATCTAAATTATCTTATACGCGAGGGATGCGTAAAAATTCCTAATTTTTGACAATCCAACCTCCATCAATGAATATTACTAATTACCCTACGAACGATTGCTCGTGTAATAAATATCGCTCGTGCGTGTCGACATACATCGACATCTAGATTTTACGAAACCTACGTTCAGATTCTCACACACGTTGAAACATCGACCTCTAGATTTCGTGAAAGCTGCGTTAGAGTCAGTGTGCCCGGTGTCGATGTTGCAACGCGTACCACGTTTAAACCTAGAAACGTTTCGGCATTGTGCGTGGGTGGCTTTAACCTCTTGCGCTGGAACGACGTGACATGCACGGTCGAGAATTATTTGTTCCAAAATATTTAAGTATAGCAATATTTTAAGTATAGCAAAATCGGCATAAGAAACAATAAATTTATTACCTCTCAATGATTTCTATAACCCAAGTGACGCGTCATCACCGACGAGTTCGAAGCGAAAGCGACGAATATTTTTTTTATTGCGTCACGATTATTTGGTCACTCGTTATGGTCCGCAAATCGGCGTTGCCAAGGCGCAAGTGGTCAAAGAGGGAGAAAAGCATGATGGTCGATCGAAGTTACTTTGGTAAGGAGAAGGGAGGGCGCGAGAGAAAGAGAAGATTACCTCGTGTGCTCGGTGGACGGCTCGTCGCAGCAGGAGCCGGGCGAAGTGAGATCGCTACCGTCGGACAAGTCCTGGTTCGTCGTCGTCGTCGTCCTCCTCCTCGCGCTGTTCTCCGCGCAACTTCTCCGTGCAAGTTTCGCAGGGTGCGAGCGTAGGTGTTCCGAGTTCTCGCTGTAGTAACCGTTCTCGCACCTGGTGGGGTACTCGGCGGACAGTGGCGACGACCTCCTGGCAACTGAGGGCGAGAAGTAGTCGGCCGCGGTGCTCGGTGACAGCAGCTCCTCGTAGTACTCGACGGTTTTCGGTTCGATCCCGTACTTTCTCGGCAGAGAGGAGTAGCCGGAGCCGCGTGCAGCGAGACCGGAATCGTTGGACAAGCTGGAGAGAGGGGAGGATCTGTAGACGGTGGCTAGTTCCGGGTCCGCGGCAAAGTCGGCGCTGTGGTATCTCGACCTGGAGGCGGACAGATCGAAGGTCGGCGATCGGCGGAGGTACCTGGCGAGGGGGTCGTAGGAGGAAGAGAGTGCGATCGCGTGCTCGGTCGGCGACTTGAGGTCGGTGACGTAGTCGGCGACGCAGTCGATGTCCGAGTAGCGATGGCCGGTTCGACCGATCGAGATACCATCGTGCCTGCCGGCGATCTTCGGGCCGAGTCCTACGGCGTATCTGCCACGATCCCGCAGCTCTCGAAGTGCTTCCCGATTGTGCTCTCGGTGAGGGCCGGCGAGGCTGAACTTTCTCGGCAGCGTGGCGCTGCTGCTGGGCAGGAGGACGCCTGGCGGCGGAGCCGCGAGCGACGGCCTCCGTCGGTCGTTGAATCGCGAGTAGAAGCTTCGCCTGCGTATCCGGTCGATCATCGACTCCGAGTTGTCCGAGCTGTTGTTGTTGTTGTTGTTGTTATTGTTGTTGTTGCTGTTGTCGTTCCTCGCGAACAGCGAGCGGGACGGCGACGTCGGCGAGTGCAAGTCCGGCCGCGCTTGGTTCAGCTCCGTCGAGCTGCTCATCGACCACGAGTCGAAGCTCTCGGGCTCGTCGGCTGTCGGTGAAAGTACGACGAGGTCGTTGGGTCGTTCGCAGCAGTCGACGACCACGCTGGTCGTTGGTCGTTGATCGTTCCTCGGTCTCTCTCGAAGTTCCCTCGCGTTCGACTGCGACCCATCTCGGGGAAGAGGAGGAGGAGGAGGATTTTCGAACGCGTGGCTCTCGATGATCTTGGCGCACTCGGTCACCTCTCGCTTCAGCTCGGCCACGTCCTTCGCGCGCAGCGGCTTGTCAATGATTATCTTGCTACCAGCGATGCTGGCACGATGCGTCACCTTGGGCAGACACTCGGCCAGAGGTTTACCAGAGGGATCCTGCTGGTGGCTGCTGTCGAGTCCTGACTTTGGAGATTCGTCGGACCTCGGCGAGTCTTTCCTGGGCGTGGCGTTTCTGAACGAGTGCTGAGGTATCTTGGACAGGTCGAGCTTCAAGTTGCACCTGTTTGCTCGTTGCTGCGGCTCCTCTCTCTCGACCACGGCTGCCAAACTACCCTTCTCTTCATCTAGTCTCTCCCGAGACTCGCTCTCCAACCCGTTCCTTTCCACATTCTCGCCGGACGTCGTCGCGGAACCGGGACCCTTGTTCTCCTCGGTGCCCGTCGTCGTCGTCGTCGTCGTCGTCGTCGTCTTCTTCTTCGCCCGCGACTTGACCGACTTCTCCTTCCCTTCAGGTGAGGTGTTCGTCTTGTCGCACGCGGCGGCCGGCGGGCTCGATTTCTTCGCGACCTTCTTCGTCACTCGTACCATCCGTTTCTTCTTCACGCTGGCGTCGCCGCCGCCAGTGTCGTTGCTGTTGCTCTCCGCAGCTTCGCACTTTTTCCTCGTCGTCGAATTTCTCGGTCTCCCGTCGTCGAGAGTTGACAGTTTGCCAGGTGGTTCCGCGGACGACGAGGCTCCGTTCTCCATCGAGGATCGATGGCTCGAGGTTTGCTTGGATCTGCTCCACCCCGAGGACGTCGGTTTCTTCTCCGCGGGTTTCTTGTCGTCGTCTGTCGTCGTTGTCGGTCTCCCTTGGCTCGAAATTGTCGTTTCCGCGGCAGAGATCTCCTCCTCTGCTTCCTTCTCGCGAGACGCGCTCCTCCTCGCCCCTTCTCTCGACGACGGCAGTGAAACAACACCTCGCCTCGAGGTTTCGACGGTGGATTTCGTCGACTTGGTCGGTATCTTGCTACCGACGGCGGCAATCGTGGTAGCTGCCGCGTCCTCGACAGAGACGGGACAGCAGTCGGAGACAGGTTTCGGCGGGCTTTTCTTCAGCTTGCTGAGAAACGTGGCGGCCTGCGATCGTGTTTGCCCGTTGCCGAGCTGTTGTTTCGCGTCCGCGGTCTTGAACAGACCGAGAACGGAGGAGACTCTGCTCTTCGAAGAATTCTCGCCGTCTCGCGAGCGTCGGGATCGACCGGGAAGATCCTCGACGCTGACGGTTCTCTTGACGGCGACACGCTCGTCCGTGGAAGGATGATCGACAGGAGGCGCGGAACGCTCTCGCGACCCTTTGTCCCTGACGAAGATTTTTCGCTCGTTGCTCGCTGCCTTTTCTCTCTTCTTCTTCTGCTGCTGTTGTTGCTGTTGTTGTTGTTGTTGTTGTTCGTCGTTGGATCGAAGACTCTCGAGCTTCTTCTCCAACGAGTGCAGAAACCCGTTTCGCGACGAACCATCGCTCCTCGGCTCATCCGCCGCCCCCGTCGTCGTTGTTCTCGCTTTCGTCTCTCGCGTGCATCGATCCCTTTTCAAGCAATTGATCTCGTTCTTCAGCTCCTTGTCCTCTCGCCTCGTCTCTCGTTCGACGGCGGCGTCCTCCTGGCCGGCGATGATCTTCGACGCCGTCGCCTTGCCCTCGCTCTTCCGCTTGATGAACCGCGACTTGCGACGCTCGTTCTCCGCGGCCTTCTGCGCCTCCTTCTCCTTCACGTAGCGGCTCTCCTCCCGCGGCGTGTCGAAAAAGTCCGGCCGCAGGAACCGCGATATCCGACGTTGCTTCGAGCTCTTCTCTCTGCCCTCCTCGTTGCTCTCATGCTCATTTTTGTTCTCCGGCGGTCGGCTAGCACCGGCCGCCTTGAACAGCTTGCTCAGCAGCGACTTCTCCGTGTTCGTGGCGAAGGTTCGCGCGGCGAGGTCCTGCGTGTCGGCGAACGACTTGCGCCGATCAACGTCGATCGGCTCGACGACTCTGGTCAACGAGCCGGAGCGCAGCCTCAGGCTCGGTATGCAGCTGCGTCGCTTCGAGGCGGCCGATTGCGAGCGAGGGGCGCTCGACTCCGCGATCGAGATCAACGACGATCGTTTCTCGCACTTGTCCGTGTCCCGGTAGCTGCAGTTTAGATTACGGTCGAACTTCGAAGCGTCGCCGCAACACCCTGCTGTTCCCGATAATCCCAGCGAGTTCCTCAGCTTCGACTCTTTGATCAGGTTCTCCGCGGCCAGCAGCCTGCTCTCCAAGTTCCTCGACGACGAGGGATTGTTGCACGCGGAGGAGGAGGTGGTCTCGGTCGGCCAGGTGTCGTCGTAGTCCGACCTGGTCGACAAGCTAGACGTCGTCGCGTCCAACGGGTTCGAGGCTGACTGCGACTGAGTGTACTCCGAGACGGAGCTGTCGCCGGGCCACGCCTGATCGTCCGACGTCTCCTCCTGGATCTTGTCCGCGCGGTACGAGCGGAAGCTGTCCTTCCGCAGTTTGCCGCAACCATTTTCCTTGTACCATTTGTTGTTGTTGTTGTTGTTGTTGCTGTTGTTGGTGTTGTTCTCCGTCGGCGACGAGTATCCACCACGACGAGCGAGATGGAGAGCAGCCTGGTCGTCGAAGAGGCCGGCGATGGCTCGACGAGGCTCTAGCAAACTGTTGGCTCTCCTGACGGCGCGCCGATCTTTGTACTCGGTCTGATCGGACACGGTGGAGACGGAACGGTCGGTCGCCGCCTCGGACAACGCGTCCGCGTCCCTCTCGGCCGACAGCGCCCGGCCCTCGCGCGAAACCGACCTCGGCGGCGACCTCGTCAACGATCGTCTCGTCTGCTCGATCAACGTTCTGCTCAAACGCCTGGCCAAACTCGGCGTGAAGCTCCGCTCGAGCGACTCCTGCGTCTCCCTATCGATTCGCGTTGGTTCCGTCGACTCTACGTCTTCGCGTGCTAATTTATCTGAAAAAACAAAGTCCCCTCCGGTTGGATGACATTTGCTCGCCGTTCTCTCACCTAGAAACCTCTTAGCTGTGAGTGACGAAAACGTACTCGTCGCGGCGAAATTTCTTTTTTCTTTTTTTCTTTTTTTTTTTTTTTTCGTCGTACGGGAAAAGCAAATTGGAATTTGCCACTCTGTGGGGAGTAAAATACATTTGTAGACTACAGACGTTTCTCGACTAGTTTCGGAATATTTTTCTTCCGATTGCGATTGCCCCTGCGCGACTTGTCGCATTTTTTTTTGTTAGAAAAAAAGAAGCAAAGATGACCATGGAAATTTCGAAAACCACGAGAAATTGATACACCATGTTGTTTCGTCTCCCTTGGAACCATACAATGTTTGTATTACACGCTTTTTCATCGGACGCATAATTTAAAAGTTATTCGAGGTGTGCAAGTTACGTGAATCACCTTGTATAGTTTCACACTTCGGTGTACGCCTAAAAATAATGAAAAAAAATATCGTATAAATATATGTCCTATCTGTCTTCGTTTGATGAGATATAATGAATTTTATAAACAGAAGAAACTCTAGTAAGCTAGTTTTACCAGGGATGGTACATTCAATTTTCATAATAATCATAATTGGGATGAAGAAAACCCACATGTTGTTGTGCATTCAAGACATCAACACCAGTTTAGTTGAAACGTATGGGCAAGAATAATTGATAAATTTTTAATTGGACCTTTTTCTGTTGATGGGAAACTAACAGGCACAAAGTACGTTGATTTTTTGAGCACGCGTTTACACGAAATATAAAAGAGGAAGTTCCAAGTCGATATTAGACTTTGTCTGCGTTTTATGCANTGATGGAGCTCCGCCGCATTTTAGCCGAGTGGCTAGGCAATTTTTAAATCAACACTTTGCAAATAAATGGATTGGTCGTGGTGGTCCTATTGCATGGCCTGCTCGTTCTCCGGATTTGAATCCATTGGATTTTCACCTGCGGGGACATTTAAAATCTATTGTATACGCGACATGGATTGAAAATGCTGACATACTACGAAATAGAATAGAGCAAGGCTTCCGACAAATTCGAGAAACCACCAGGAACGATAGAGTAACCAGATGGATGACAAGACGCGTGCAAGGTGGTAATTTCGAGCATCTTTTGTAAAAGTAATTAAAAACAGAAAATTCATTGTATCTCGTAAACGAAGACAGATAGGACATATATTTATGTGATTTTTTTCATTATTTTTGGGCGTACAATCAGCTCCCGAAGTTACGAAACACCCTGTATATACTTGGAAAAATCATCTTTTAGATCAAAGCTAACTGGCGGCTCGCGAGCCCCTCCCTAATCGCTGAAGCTACTCCCACCACTGCATCGATCTCCCCACCTTTCCTCGCCGTGCATGAGCCCCACTCTCTCAGTTTGTCGATTTCCCTACCGAGCAAGTGGGAGCGATGGTCAGGAAAATATCGTTCCATGAGAGTAAATTATATTTCTAGTATTTGACTCCCTTTGTTTTTTAACAAGAAAATTAAACGAACGTGTAAGTTTTGTAAATATAAATTTATATTCAAAGTCAAGTCAAACGATAAAATTATTGATGTTGTTTTTATAACAAAATTGTTTCTATTTAAAGTTAAATTTGTCCTTATTTTTAACAAGAAAATTAAACAAACGTGTAAGTTTTGTAAATATAATATTAATCAAGTCAAACGATAAAATTATTGATGTTGTTTTTATAACAAAATTGTTTCTATTTAAAGTTAAATTTGTTCTTATTTTTTAACAAGAAAATTAAACAAACGTGTGAGTTTTGTGAATATAATATTAATCAAGTCAAACGATAAAATTATTGATGTTGTTTTTATAACAAAATTGTTTCTATTTAAAGTTAAATTTGTTCTTATTTTTTAACAAGAAAATTAAACAAACGTGTGAGTTTTGTGAATATAATATTAATCAAGTCAAACGATAAAATTATTGATGTTGTTTTTATAACAAAATTGTTTCTATTTAAAGTTAAATTTGTTCTTATTTTTTAACAAAGAAAATTAAACAAACGTGTGAGTTTTGTAAATATAAAATTTGTATTAATCAAGTCAAACGATAAAGAATTATTGATGTTTCAAAGAGGAACCCTGGTGTTGAGTTCCCTTGTAATTTAATTCAATTTCACAATTACCAGCTACACATACTCGGCGCGTTCGACGAGTATAATCGCCATTGCGCAACGTGGACGCGCACTTTTGAAAGCGGCACAGCTAAGAGGTTAAAAAAACAAGAGGCAGATGAAATACTTCGACTTTCTCTTATTTACACTCCTTTATTTCCTACGTACATGAATTTTTCTTCTTTCGTCTCTTGTAAAATTTCCTCGAAAAATTAATAAATAAATTTAACTGAAGACAGAGAGATGTAGAAAAAGAGAGAGAGAGAGAGAGAGAGAAAATTCACTCTAAAGAAATGACTGTACGACCGCTAAATCGAACGACGAACGAATTTGCCCGCGCACAGCGTTTCGTAGCACGATGGGAGAAAGGAGATAAAAATTAAAAATTAAAAATTAAAAAAAAAAAAAACGAATAAAATAAACTTTCAGATCGTTGTTTCTGATTTTTAAACGCGTATGTCGATTTGTTGTAAGATCGATCGTGTCTCTGTAGCTATTACACGGTGAAACTACAAACGAAAAAGGTGAGAGAAAAATGGAGAACAAAAAAA